CATTAGTTGGTATTTAAATAAAAAAGCATGTATTTTACACTTGTGTTCATTTCTACAAAACTGTCAAAAAATATTTACAAAATACACTGAATTTCAGTTGTTACTGATTCAGATTAGCATAAACCAAATACTGTTTTATGTTTAAATATCAGTTTCATGCTATAAAAAAGCCTACATCCATTCTGTCCTTGTTCCTAATAACAGTTAGTGTTTAACTATTGTAAACAAATGTTTTACAGTAACACATAATTACATTACATTATGTCATATTTTCACATTTCTTGTCAACGTTAACATTTTTTTGGCTGTCGGTGGGCTGCCAAAGCAAAGAACAACAGAAAGAAGAGACCCTGACAGTAAACTGGTAACCAGTTATTTACTGATACTTTCTGAGCCTTAAAGCAAGAGAGTGCTGTGTCTGGATCACGTGGCCTACCTCCACCTGTGCAGGGCGGGGCAATGAGACTGAAACAGCTGAGCAGCAGCAGCAGAACAGCAGTCTGGAGCGCAGACATGGTGTCTGCAGGTGGATGAAGGTCTGAAACAGAAGATGGAGGTGGTGAGGCACAGACCTGCAGACATTTGATCAGTTCGACACAAACTCAGGTGGAGCATGAAAGCTGAGACAACTGCTGGTCCGGGATCAGATCCAGAACCTGAATTTAAATCATTCATTAGAGGTTAAAGGGATAGTCTTGTCAAATTTGAAGTAATGTTCTACCTAATAGTTGTCTGTAGTTAGTATATTATCAGCCATAACGCACAAAGTATGGACAACGAGACAATAGTCCTGTATCTACTGTAGCCAAGGAACTAAGTACAGATGACATCATTTCATGATTATGTACAGGATATATTGTTACAAACACCTCCTCTTTTATGTAAAAAATGAAGAGACAGAATCATTTTACAAGCAAACAAAGACATGTTGATACATGTTCTCTTCATGAGGCTCCTCCCTCTTCCTGGTCAGCTGACTGGCTCATCACTGCCATCCTTATTTGGCTGATACTTCCTGTTCCTGTGGTCTTCTTCTCTGCTCCCAGCAGCTGTAGAAGGGAGGAACTGATAACAGACTTAACCAGCACAGGTTGTCCTCCACAGGGAAACACCGGGTCCATCAGGGTCTGGTTGGGTCCAGTTTTGTGGCCCACAGGAACAGGTTGATGTGAGGCTGACTGCTGACACTGCATGTTCTCATAAACAGTCACATCAGATGAATTTACTAATTTACTAAGTCTCTTGGGGGAGAGACGAAACGTTTCATTAAAGAAGAACATGTCGAGAGGACCAACTTATTTTTTCTTTTTGATTTTTCTACCTCGATTCCTGCGATGCATCAGGACATTTTATACACACATGGATTTTATTCTGAAATTGGTAGTTTCAAAAGGAAAACAGCGTTGCAGTTTCAGCTGTGTTTGGAATCTGTCTTCCACAGAATGAAGTATTTTGCTCTGACTGCCACATTTATCATTGGATTTATTGCATGATCTAGCATTTCCTGATCACACTTCTCGGACCTCATCTGTGCTTTACCAGAGTGGAGCGGACGCTGTTAAAAATAAGGGTGCAAACGAACGGCTGCAAACTGCAGTTGAGCGGAATCACATCTACTGTAAATTAGGGGCGTTAGCAAGTTTGAATAGGAGTAATAATCAGGAAGTTAGTTTTCTTCTAAGTGCTTTTATATAAGTAAGTAAGTAAGTAAGTAAGTAAGTAAGTAAGTAAGTAAGTAAGTAAGTAAGTAAGTAAGTAAGTAAG